TGAAAATTCTGACCCCAAAGATACTTGGGAAATTATCAGGAAAAATCTTACAGAAAATAGTGTTCTCCCCACACTTGAGGCTGCAAAACACAGGACTTGCTCTCCTCTCTATTTAAATCTCCCTTTGTGTAGAGATTTTCAAAAAGGATACATGGCAAATCTGTAGAATCATTAATTGTGCGGGCTGTTTATGTTAGCCAGATTTAATATGTTTCCCTCGATGATAGTGAGAGGAAGATATTTAGCTCTCCCAGAATAAGAGCGTCTCTGCAAATGTAGTAAACAGGAACCTGATACTTTGGAGCTTATTTTCTTTTCTTCTGATTTTGGAATTTATGCCAGAAGACAATTATTAGAGGCCTTAAAACTCAATAGACTGATTTCTATGCTACCGACGGTTCAGGACCTGCTTTCGGACAGGAATGATCAAATTACTTTAATAGTGGCTGAATTTTTGAGTGCTGTCCATGTAGAAAGATTGGGCCATTATAAAGAGACTTAATAATTCTTAATTGATTGGTGATGTGGTAGTGTTGTATTGTATTATTTATGCAAATTGATTTTCTCTGGAGTTAAAGATCTGATTGAGACAAACCTTGTTATGCCAAGCTCATATTTTGCACAATTTGTATATGATGTCTGTTTGATAATGTGTGGTTTGCTATGCCTAATAAAGGATATTTGGCACTTCTGAGTTAGCGCCTCTGGCAATGGCGGATTTCCTCTGATCGGGAGGAATCCGCTTCGTGAGAATTAGGGTCTGGACCGCCGCGGAGAGGCGGAGACCCATTAAAAACCACAGGCAGGAGAAGCCTGTGGACGTGGGATTCGGCTGGCACCTTTTGCGCCTCCCCTACTCGCGGGGAAATCCGGTTTTGGGGATCCGGAGTGACGTGGGGTGAGTGGCGCAGTGCTTCGAATCGACTGCTTTTTTCACGGAGTGAAGCCGCATTGCTGTTGCTGGAGAGCGCTGACTTTTTCCTGTGGACAATTGGATTTTAAACAACTGCTTGTGAGTAGAATGGAAAATTGGACTATGAAATTTCTTAATTTGGCACCGAAGCGGGAAGGTCTAAACAGGAAGTCCACCTTCCGCTTTTGTAAATAGATTGAAGCAAAGACATTGCAAGCTAGAGTCTGGAAAGTCGTCTGTAAAGGATTAAATTTCCATCATTTAAAATTACTAAACCCCCTTGGAAGCAGGAGAAGAGGGGGGAATCTTTTTAGACTGTTTAAACCTGCAGAAGAGAGAGTAAAGAAAGATAAATTTCCACCGTCTTGAACCTGGGAGCGGGGTGTCAGGACGGACGCTTTGGGGAAGTTCATTGACTGTGGACAAACGTTTTTGACAGATAGTTAAAAAAGAGAAAAATATTGATTCCAATGTTCCCTCTTGCGTTTAAAAGAAACAAAATATCTGAAAAAGGAAAGGAACTTTGTTGCTAGATCTGCTTTTAAAAAGACGGATACAAATAGAAATTGTTTCCCCTAGAGCAGTGTTTCCCAACCGGTGTTCCGCGGCACACTAGTGTGCCGCGAGATGTTGCCTGGTGTGCCGCGAGATGTTGCCTGGAGGGAGGCGGGCGAGTCCAAAAAAGGTTGGGAAACACTGCTCTAACACACGCCAGCTGGGGTCTGCCTCCGCGTTGCATCAGCTTCCTCGCTCTCGGCGCTCTGCTTGCCAGCCTGGTGGCCTCTGCCCCACCCCGAGACTGGAAGGGAGGGGCGGGGCTTCCACTGCGGCTGCGTCTCTGGCTCTTTCGACTCATTCCTCCTCCGAGTGGGCTTGAAAGAGCGGCCGATGGATGAATCGGCCGGCGACCCTGAAGCCTTGTGCAAAGTAGAGGAGGCGGAGAAGCGACGGCAGGGAGCTTAGGCGCCGCATCCGGCTCATTGCGGGAAGTCAAGATGGCGGCGGGTAAGTGTGGGAAGCAGCTTTTTCCCTCCGCCGCCCCCCTCTCACCGGGAATAAAGGGGGCCCCGCTGGGGGGTGACATTGTAGAACGCAGAGTTCTTATTTTGGGAAGGTTTGAGGGGTCGGACTAAGCAGGTTGGGGGCTGGTCTGGGCTTCCGCTCCCTCCCCTCCCCACGGAGTGTACCTGCGGTGCAAGGAGGCGCTCTGAGCCACTGCTCTGGGAAAGGAAGGAGGGCGAGGCGGCCTGGCCAAGTGCAGGGGAGACCCGTAGTGGGGAGCAGGGGGAGGAGGAGGCACCGAGGAATGGAGGCGGGGGAGACTCCCTCGCTTTGCAGAAGCTGCAAAAAACGAGGCAGGAATTGGGTTTGTTTTTGTAGCTCAGGACGTGCTTCGCTTCTGGTGTGCCTAAGGCGGCCGCCCCAATTATCCCCTAGCCCGTCTTTCCAGGTGCTGCCCCCCCTCCACAAAGGGCCATAGAACTGTAGAGTTGGCAGGGGTCCCAAGGGTCATCTAGTCTTAAGTTTCTCTTTCAAAAAGGAAACGTGGGTTAAAGCGGCGACGACGCCTCCCACTCACTTTCCTGCTCTGGCTTCCCTAACAGTTTTCCGAGTTGCGTCACTGGATCCAGCCCCCTTTTCCACAGGTGACACGGGGCTGGAGGGAGGGAAAGAGGGCTTTACGTCGCGCACAAAGGCAGCCTCCTAGAAGTGCTCTGGGCCGGCGCCGTTTCGCCGAAGGCGCCGGAGGACCCCCACCCTCAGCTCCTTCAGAAAGGACTGGAGCGGAATAGCCCTTTCTCTTCTTCCCCAACCCTTGTCGTTGGAGGAGTCCCTCAGTCCCTCGCTTTGCTGCCTCCTCCCCCCCACCCCCAAAGCTTGGAGGTTCCCCGGCAAGGGGAAGGGGAAAAATTGAAACTTACACTTTCGTGCGTCCCTCCCAGCGTGACGCTACGCGCTGACGTCACGGGGCTGTAATGGTGGTGTGCCTCGAGATTTTTTTCATCAAACAAGTGTGCCTTTGCCCAAAAAAGGTTGGGAAACACTGCCCTAGAGGGAGCTTGTGAAACTGTTATTAGAGTCGAACTGGGGAGCTTTGCAGCTGTAGAGATTAAAGATCGTGGGACCAGACTTTGACCTTGAACAAGAATGTGCCTAGAACAAGCGTTAATGCTTGCTCTTTGCAAGACAAGTGCTTTACTGGAACAGCTACATGAGAAGATGGATTTGATGACTGTTGCAGTTTTTTATTGACTTGTATTGTTCAATTGTTATTTTTGTCTACCTTTTTCTTTCTTTTTCTTTTTCTCTTGTTTTTTTTCTTTCTTTCTCTGTAATTTTAAATTCTCAATAAATATCATTTTAAAAAAATAAGATAAAGGATATTTGGCAAGGCTCCTTCCACCTCCATTATTCTGTGTCACAGGTGGGGAATCTATTTGGCTTCAGGGCCCAGATCCTGATCAGGATTGTCCCCATGGGCCAAAAGGGGCAGGGGGCTGAAGCTGACATCCTAGCATAGCCCACCCGTCAATCTCATCTACCCTTCTACCCCTCCACTTCAGTTATTGTTTGAAGTGCTGGGACACCTGTGGTGCTGTTAGGGGCAGGGCTAAAGTCCTGAAGCAGGGAGCCTGCTTAGGTAGTAAGTATAGAAGCTTGGAAAGTGAAGGTGCAAAATCGTAGAGAGATCTCCCTCCAGACCCAGCAGAGGTTCCCACTTCTGAAGTTCTGCTCCAAAATTGCAATTAGAGGGGGAAATCACTCAACTTTGGGGCTAGACACTGCAAATGCATTCCCCCACCCTTCCAGCATGCTGGCTCCTTTCTCACAACTAACGTCTTAAAAGGACTAACATCTTCTGACTCATTTCAGAAAGAAATTTAAAAAACAAAAATGTGTGCCAAGAGGCTTTGGCCAGAGGTCTACCAGCTTTTACTGAGTTTAAGACTTTAAGTGATGCCTGTCGTAACAGTTCCAAGGCTGGATGGGTTAGGGGGTGGGGGAGGAGTGGGGGAGAAATGGCCATAACTGGACAAAGGGGATGAAAGACCTTTCTAAAGGGTCCCTAAGTGTAGACTGCTAGACAATAAAGAAATACAGATGTATAATAAATGCTGGAGATGTGGGATCTTATGCAGGTTTACTCAGAAGCAAGTCCCACAGAGTTCAGTGGGGCTCCTTCCCTCCCAGGTAACTGGCCATACGTTTTCCAACTAAAATCAGACAGGGTGAAACTCCCAAAATAACACAACCGAAAGAGCTTAGAAAACAGATTATTTCTGATATTAATGGGCCTGATCCAATTCTGGCCTAATGCTCCTTTTGGACACAGGACAGTAAAACATGGCAGCCCCAGGCTAATAATTGCCGGTGTCGATCTTCTGGGGACTCCAGGCCTCATGCTGCAGGATGACCTTGGGGGCTCTTGTCTCACCCCCCCCCCACTTCAGTTGCCCACCCTGCTTATGGTTTTAACCATGTATTTGTGAAATATACTTGGAGTCGAGAGTGGATTTCATGCTCATTATTCAGCTCATAGTGGTGAGGAGGAATGGAAGTTCCCCCAGAATGTCTGCTTTATATACATTATTTACACAATAGGCCCCAAGTGATTGGCTAGTTCCAGGATTCATCTGTAGGCCAATCAGGTTGCGGATTCACTTCCACCTGGAGCTGGATTGGGTGGCTCCTGTGGACCAATCAGACTGCTGCATTCTGTATCCTATTGTTCTAGGACCAATCAGACTGCTGCCTTTTGGATCCTATTCAACTCAGTACATAACACCCCTCCCCTCTAAGTTCCAGTCCTGCCCGGGAGGTCGCATTCATAGTCCTCAATGTACGCCGGCCGCCTACGTGTGCGTTGCGGCCTGGGGTGTTCCCTGGTCAGGGGTTCCGGTTCTGGCTCGTGTTCTGAGGATGCTGGCTGCGATTAAGGGAAGGGGAGATGCCTCTGCCCTGGTGGAGACCCCCACCCTCCATTTCCTTTCCTCCCAGCAAACCCCTCCCTGCAATTCTGGCCCTTGGAGGAAACGTTATTGGGGGGGGGGAGTGTGACTCTGAGCCTCTCCTGCCTTCCACTCACCTCCGCTCTGGTTGTAGCGATTCAAAAGATTCTGCAGATTCCCCCTGAACACCAGCTCAGCACCGTGATATATCTGAGTCTCCGTGTGCCAGTACTGAGGATCCTCCTTTTCCACCTTCCTTATCCAGGGAACGAGAGGTAGCGCCTCCTTGGTGTCACTGTCATACTGAACATATTGCTGGTCATCCACGTACCCCACAGAAATGAACTGGGGCAGCCCCTGGCCAGGCTCAGACACGGCTGTTTCAAAGTAGCGCAGGGAGTGAGAAGTGGAGCCTGGAAAGGAAAAGAGAGGGGAAGAGAGTTAGGGGTCCTGCAGACGAAGGAAGCCTAATCCTGCTGTATTGCAGGCAGCAGCCCTGAATTAGGAGATCCAAAGCTCAGCAGGGTTTGGGGGACTTTGTAGACCAGCCCTTAAACACAGAGGAGGAAGAGCAGAGGAAGCCTAAAAATTATAGAGTTGGAAGAGGAAAAGATAGGATATAAATACAAGTAACAACAACAATAGCCCATGGAGCAGTGGGCGAGAAAAAGCTCTGCCAGGCAGCACTAAATCTCTGCATGTCTCTGCTGAGGCTCTGTGTGGGGGAGAGAGAGGCCAGCCCCTCCCTTTTGCCAAGGGGGCAGGAATTGCCCCCCACTTGCAAGCACCAAGCTGATGAGAGCTCCCACAACATGGTCTGAAGGCTCAGGATGCACTCAGATCTGGGAAGTGGATGGAGGGGAGACCAGACAAACCAAAATTCATATATTGGGAGAACAGGAAGCTGCCTCCTCCTGGGTCAGAACACTGGTCCAGGTAGCACTGAGTTGTTCACACTGACTGGAAGTGGCTCCCCAGGGACACAGGAAGGGGTCTCTTTCCCAGCCCCCGCCCCCCGAGATGTCAGGGATAGAACCAGGGACCTTTTATGGGCAAGGCAGGTGCTGCCCCTCTGCCACATGTCCCTCCCTCTTATGTGTTGCCTTGAATTACATGGGGGCACAGTGCTAAGGGGGGAAGAGCAAGTCCTGTTTTGTTTAAGGTAGCAAAATGGGATGTATTATTATTATTATTATTATTATTATTATTAGAATTTATATATCACCCTATAGCCAGAGATCTCAGGGCAGTTCACAGAACGAAATCAAAATCTAAAACCACAAAATATTCAATCAAAATAAAACAACCCAATAACCCCCCCAAAAAAACACCATTTTTTAAAGGGCATAGGGTGTTGATCAAATCAACCAAAGGCCTGGTTAAAAAGGAACGTTTTTGCCTGGCAACTAAAGGTGTATAATGAAGCCGCCAGGTGAACTTCCCTGGGAAGAGCATTCCACAGAGGGGAGCAACAACAGAGAAGGCCCTGTTCTCGCATTGCTATCCTCCAGACCTCTCAAGGAGGCGGCACAGCACACGAAGAAGGGCCTCAGCACACACACACACCCTGCTAGCAACCCCACTGCTCCAGGTGCCAGGGCAGGTAGCTCTGCCCCTGCCTTGATGGTGTGTCACTCTGCTACCTCCCTCCAGCTCGGTTTCCTTTCAGGCCAGATCAAATGGGACCCACTTCCAAGGCCCTCCCCTCCCAGGGCAGGGTGCATAAGATGGGCTGCAATCCTATGCGCCCCTTGCATTCTTTCTCCCATGAAGAATACTCTTGTCTCACAAAAGTGTCAGTTTAAAACATTTTTCTTTGGGCAACCCTATCCAGATAGGCAAATGTTGACGTGTTTTGACCTCTCAATGCTAATTTTAGTTCTTTTTTAATGCTTTAAACTGTTCTTATTATTTTACTATTTCCTGTAAATTAATAAGAGTTTTTACCACAATCGAGCAGGATATACATTTTTTTAGCTAAACAGAGAACATGAGTGGCAACCCCAAAAGGAGAAAAACACCCAAGGCAGCTCAGGAATGTGGAATTAAGAATTTAATAGTGATAAATCCTTGAATAGTATGCAGAGCCAGTCGATTGGGGGGCTGAGGTAGCAGGAATATTCTGAGCAAGGGCAATTCATGTCTAGGAGCCCCAGAAGCCAGGCAGAGGCTCCAACATTTTTGAATTTTTTTGGGGGGGGAGGCAGAATATAAAAGGAGGGCGTATTCAAGGGGAACTGGGCTGTAAGGTGGGGGCCCCCTTTTGTTTCTCAGGAGTTGTTTCTGCCCTTCGTCCCAAACAACTTGACATGTACAAAACGTGGTGAAAGGGGCTGTACAGAAACGGCAGAGAGAAGCCCCCTGCATAATTTAGGAAACCTACATTTTTGACAGGCAACAGGAAAGGGGTTTTCTTGGTGGGGGAGACTGGGGGAGTTACAACTCTAAAGCAGAAGAACCTGATGATGAAAGGGAACTCCTGAACAACACAACATAGGGAATTGCGGGTGGGGACCCCTTATTCAGACGTTTACCCCGCAATGAAGTCAGCTCTACACGCGTCCAGCTCCCACCCCCAGGCTGGTCCCCATGGTTTTTAGCTGAGTTTTTAAGAGCGGCTGAGGGTTAGAAGAAGGAAGGTAAAAAATAGAAGAGGGAAGACTCTGTACCTGTATATCTCTCACACACAAACTCACAAACACTCACACAAACCAGAGTCAACCCGAAGCTGCGGGGGGCGGGACAGGCGACTCACTTTCCCCCCCATGAATCCTGCCAACACCTTCAAGCTTTGTTTTGTTCTTTGCTTGAGCCCCGAGCCCAGGAGTGAAGCGGCCCCTGCCCCGGGCGGCATACAAAACAAGCCAAGTCTGGGAAACAGATGTCTGGGAAGGGATTATTTTCTCCCCCGCCCCAGAGCACAGTCCTTACATGCGCAGTCCAGGAGCAGCAGCAGCAGGTGGGCAGCCGCCCCCAGGATCAGGGGGGGCCAGCGGAGGAGGAGGACCCCCATCTCCCCCCAAAAGGAAGCTCCCTTTTCCTCCTCCCTCCTCCCTCCGACCCGCTCTCTGCCCCGCCTGCGGAACCAGCAGCAGCGGGAGCCGGGATTGGCCGAGGGGAAATATTTCACCAATCGGAAATCTGCGCGCAGATGGCGGCACCGGTCGCCGGGCAGAACTCGAAGCACAAGTGGCGAGCGAGGCTGAAGAGGGAACGAGGAAGTTCTTGCAGCCCCTCGCCGGGAATCGCCACCTCCCTCCCTCCCTCAGCTCTTCCTGTCCTGCCCTGCAGGGAGGGCGGAGGGGGGTGGCCAGGGGAGGACCCCAGGTTCAGTCCCCGCATCTCCAGGGGGGTCTGGGAATGTCCCCCTCTCTGAAACTGGGGAGAGGGGCTGTGAGATGCGCTTGTAAAGCTGTCAGTCAAGCCCAACATTCCCAGAGGACTAACTGCCTCTATGTGGCAGTTTGTCTGTTGGTCGGTTGCTGCTAGGAGTGGTAACTGGTAACTTCTGGGATGCAGAGAGGGAGGAAGGTCAGGTGGTAGCCGGTGAGGAAAATTTCATGTCACCCCTCCCCCCCACACACACACATTGAATTTTTTTTTAAAAAAAGTTTGCCTGCAAAAATGGTTTTACGTTATTTCATATTTTCTTACAAAGGAATGTGGATTCTGGGCCTCTGATAACAAGTAGGCAACTATGGACAGATACTTAAATCTAAGGATGAATTGTGTTTAGGCTTGTGTTTTTTATTTATATTTATTGTTTATTTGTTTAATAAAATTTATTTTTAAAAACCTGCAAAGTGGTTTACCAAAAAAACAACTACACCACAGCAGTAAAATCAAGAAAAATTAACAACCCTACTTGAAAACATGCAAAAGCTAAAATATTAAGATTAAAATTACCTCAACTTCCTAAGCATCTAGGTATGCTTGCCTAAAGAAGAATGCTTTGAGCAGGTGCCCGAAAAGAGTCTAGCAAAGGCACGCGCTTTGTTGCAATAGGCAGGGAGTTCCAAAGTGCAGGTGCCGTCACAGTAAAGAATGCACTACAGATATTATGTGGAACCTGTAGTAGTGCTTGAAACTACTAAAGGGGAGGTTTTATTTATTGTGATTTCACTGTGCTCTGTATTTTCTGAAAAGGTGTGTTTCTCCGTTCCAAACTGGATTGTTTCCCAGGGGACTTCGCCCTCTTCTGCCTCCCTCAGCAACCTCTGAGTCCGGTTGGAAAGTCCCAGAGCAGTTCCCACAACAAGGCCTTTTTATTTTTAATGTTTGTTTTCAATTTTACTCATAAGAAGAATAGCTGATGGTGCAGTAAACAGTCTTTGGTGAGTTACAATAATCTAAATTTCGTTTGCATGCCAAGCTAGCAAAGGAATCTCAAGTGACAGCATCTCAGGCTGCTTGACTGACATTTCTCACAGGAATTGAAGAACGGAGGCAGATTTCACTGAGAAAGTCCTCATCCTTCATTAACAGTGGTGTTTGTGTGTGTTTGTTTCCTGCCCTCACGCTCTCTCTCTGCCACAAGACACCCTCACCCATTTCTCCACAGTCCCTAGTTGTCTTTTCTCACTTTCCCCTTTTTGCAATCCTCTGCTGCCCCCTGCCAGCTGCTTTCTTCCCCAGCTGAAGTGGAAATCAGGTGATTTCTAGGAAATCCTTCAAGGGACCAGTTGAAGCAAGTCACGGGTTGCAAAAAAATGGTCAAGGTTCCCACTTATGTCACAGCTTTGGAATCGGTGCACGTGGGTGTATGCCTACCTATGGTATGGAAAAATGGAAATATATAAAACTTTTACAAATCACGTAATCAGAAAAAACCTATTTAGAGTATGGGGAACATATAAAAACTTATTAGAAAGAAAAACACCACTGTGGATATCCCCAGTGGAAGCTACAACCAGGAAAATAATAAATATGGATAAGCAGTGGTTAACTTACAGTGAAATTTTATCTCTTATAGGACAGGAACCAAAACTGAGAAATCTCGAGGAATTAAGAAATCTGGTTACCAATTACTGTAGGTACATCACATTAATGAATAGTTTAAGATAGGAAAAATGGCTTTGCAGAACAAAAGTCTCAGTTTACCAAAGACCTATTATACAAATATAAAAGTATTAACAAATATGTATAAACTGCTGTTGGAGTGGGAAACGAAAGAGGAATTTGTGAAATTTAGCAGGATTAAGTGGGCACAGGATGTGGGTCACAAAATCGACCATGAATTATGGGGAAAGTTGTGGAAAATATGAATTTTATGGCAAGTTATGCGATAAAAAATTATATGATGAAAATGGCCCACAGATGGTATTTAACACCCACCAGATTGGCGAAAATATCTAAAGAAGAAAAAGGTATATTTTGGAAGTGTAATGAAATTGAGGGATCTTTTATTCACATGTGATGGTCGTGTAAAATAATTAAGGGATATTGGGAAACGATATAAAATGAATTTAAAAAGATACCTGAGAGTTTCCTTTTGGGGATGGTAACAATGGAGGTCCCCCCAAAAACAAAAGAGTTTATTACTATGCGCCACTGCCACAGGTAGAACCTTATTGGCACAAAGGTGGAGAACAAGAATAGCACCCACTCAGGAAGAACGGCAGTGTAGGGAGAAGAGACAGTGGAAGAGGACTGGAAAAAGTTTAAAGACTATTTACAAAAACATTATAAGCTGTATGAATGCTAAGAAAATGCACGAAAGGAAGTAACATGGCATCAGCAATTTAGTTGAAAGATATATGAGAATAAGTGGAATTTAAGGATAAAGATGAAATTCGAAGTAATGTTATGTTCAATCCAAGCAGTTAAGTATTTGATAAAAATATTTAAAGCTCGAGGCATAATATATGAGAACTATAAAACAAGAACTGAAATAAGGTAATAAATTGCTGTTTGTAATTTTATTATAGAGAACGCAGGAAAGGGAGATGTGAGGAAGTCCAAACTGTTATGAAAAAATGAAGTATCAACGGCTGTGATTTTTTTTTCTTTTTTATTCTATGTCTACGTCTTTGTTTACTTATGTTTCTTTTGTCTTACTTTTTGGTGAAGGTATTGTATACATATATGTTGGTGATTTTTTTTCTGTTTAAAATTTGCAATAAAAATATTTTTTAAAAAAGGAAGAATGGCAGTGTAAAATGTTTGAATACTGAACTGGCTGGTCTGACAAACAGAATAAGAGAAAACAGATATAAGGAATATAAGGAGGAATGGATGCTTATTGAATATTTCAAGAACCAGTCTAGAGAAAGACATAGTTTAGCAGGTCTCGTATAAATCCAGCTGTTAAAATAGATGAGAGTATTTAATAGATAACAAATTGGATGATTAAAAAGATGTGGATTGTGCAGAGTAGTAGAAAAGCAAAGGAACCAGGAAAAGTGTGGCAGGAAAGTCATATGGTATATGTATACATGCTGTATTTGGTATGAAGTTGTAAGTGGGACGAGGGAAGGAGAGAGGGATTAAATATGCTCTGTACTTGTTTTTGAAAATGCAAATAATTTTTTTAAGAAATTGATCCCCTCTCCACGGAGGCGTTTTCAAGGTGGGCACCCACCCCCCACACCGATGGAGGAGCTGCTCAAATGTTAACATACGTCTCAGTCTACAACCCTCTAAGAGGGTTTTATTGTACGTTACAATAAAATTATAATGGTACAGGAATAATAATTAGGAGTGTTTTGCAACCATCAGTGCAGTTCTCCACGTGTTTCCTAGATGTTCACACACAAATGATTTTGCAGCGCTCCACTATTGCCTTAAGTTGTGTTTTCCGTGAAGCCCCATTGTACGTAGCATAACTCACACACCAAGGCCAGCCCAATACATTTTGACACCTGAGGCCGGCCCCAAAATGGCATCCCACTCCCCACCAGGGAAGAAGCAGCGAGGGAAGATTTACATCCAGGGCAGAGGGAAGATTTACATCCAGGGCAGAGGGAGAAAAAATATTTAAATTTTAAATCATTTAAATGGTATTGTTTTAACATTTTGAGGTTTGCTGCCCTGAGCTCCTTTGGGAGGAAGAGTGGGGTAAAAATTTAAAATAAATTAAATATTTTGGGCATCTTCTTTTCATCTCAGTGGGAGAACTTCCTTCTGGGACTGTGGACTTTTGGGGCAACCCTGCCTTGGTCACCTCCCAACCACACCCTGCCCCAGATCAGATATCTACATATTTCTTTTATTATATTCCCCCCAACCCACCTTTCTTCCATCCTGGAACCAAAGGCACCATCCAGGCACTGACTTCACACCGTCTTGGCTTCAGGTAATTTAATTCCACCCCTGCAAAGCCACAGATTATGTCCCCATCTCGCTTTGGACACTAGTTCTTCAGTCACTTTACAAAGGAAGAGCAATTATTGGCACCTCCCTGCCAGAGTCTGTGAATATTCTCAGGAGCTTCAAAATCTCTGGAACTCCTGTGATAAGAAGGAAAGAACCACTAAAGAAGGAGGGGTGCACTCTTATTTATTTCAGTCAAACGGATTTTATAAAATAATAATTATACTTATAATTTTATTATTTATACCCTGCCCACCCATTTCCATTAAAAACAGAGTAAAACTTCAAACATTTAAAACTTCGCTAAACAGGGCTGTCTTCAGGGTCGTGATTCGCTGCTTCTGCACATGCGTGTGATGTCATTTTGACCATTTGCGCATGTGCGAGTGGCGAAACCCAGAAGTAACGCGCTCCGTTACTTCTGGCTCACCGCAGCTGCAACCCGAAAATACTCATCCCGAAGCTACTTTAACCCGAGGTATGACTGTAATAACAATTATATCCAGTGTCTTCAAAGCAAGGTGCAGCAAATCCATTGGGTTAGGCAAGAAGAATCCAGCGGCCCCTGGAGGTTTGTTGGATGAGTTCATGTGGCCCCACTCCCAGTGGGTCTCCCCTCCTAGAAGGCTGTGGGGACCAGGCAACAAGTCTCATGAACTGAAGGCCTGCAGCCAAAAAGATGGAGCTGCTTATTTCAGATCAAACTCTGACCATGAAGCTCCTGATCTGCCTCTTCTCCTTGCTGGCTTCCTCCTTGGCTGTCAGCAGAATCTGAAGCAAGAATCCCTCTCATCTCCTGTAGGAAAGTCGCCTCTCTCTTCAGCCACTCTGTTCCTTCTCTCTTTCAGCTTCAACACCTGAGCATCTAAGCATCCCTCCTCCTTGCCAACCATCCCTCCCTGCCAGTTTCTTCACTTCCTCACACAGAAGGTGGGTGGAAAACACTCAGCCAGAGCAGTTAGGCTGCTTTTACGCATTCCATGACATGACTGAGGAGATTTCACCCCTCCCATACCCAAGAATCTCCTGACCATCTCCTGATGATCTCTGCTGACTCTCCACAGAGAAGAGGAGGCGTGTCCTGCCTATTAACTTATTCTGCCCAGCAACATATCTGTGAGTGTGAGAGAGAGTCAGTCAGTCAGTGTATCAGAGAGAGTGAGAGTGTTAGAGATCCTAGAGATTAGATTGCTGCTAAGAGCAGCTGCAGACTCTCAGTATAGCATTGCTTTATGCTCAGTATACTTAGCTCTGTATATAGTTTTGTACCATAGTTGTAGTTGTAGAATAAAAGGAAGATATTTTACAGAGCTGCTCTCCAAGTGGTTTATACTCTGCAAGACTCTGCAAAACGCTGCTGCGCAACGACTGCATTATTGAGACAGTGAATCCGGTGCTCTCAGCTCCAAGCTGTGAGTCCACAGCACTGTGACCGTTTTCCTGCGGGAAGGAGGTCTCTGGCGGTGCTACCCAGCTCGCCCAGCCCAGTCGGGGTTGAGGTACAAGAGTCCAGTTGGCGCACTGGCTCTAGGGCGATGCTGACATCGGTTATGGGCTCAGTCGTTGTTCCAGTCGTCTGACCTGACGTTGTTCCAGTCATCCCAGTCGTCCCAGTCGTCCCAGTCGCCAGAGGTTTCTATTGCTGATTGCCGGACGGTGGAACGGAGGCTGCATGCTGGACTGATTTGTGGTGCCTAGAAGCAGAGCTGTGTTGGAGCAGAGTGTTCAAGCTGCCGCTGTTGCTGTTGCTGCTGCTTGATTTATGGAGGTATGTTGCTGACTGCCAAAGAAAGAAAATAGCATCCCTGTTTGCCTGTTAATTGCGCTCTGAGTGGGAGAGAGAGTGGCTGAAGAAGTCCAAGGCTTTATCTGTGTTGCACGAGGGAAGTGTCTTGCTCTAAGTAATAGCAGACATGGCCTGTGCACATTCTGGCCAGATGGCTCTGTCCTTTCCCCTCCTTACGCCTGAAAACTATGCAGTTTGGCAAGTTAAGATGAAAGCGCTTTTACAGAGGGAAAAGCTATTTCACACCATAGAAGATGACCCTCCAGATAAGGATGATGATGATTGGCCTGAGTGGCATGCTGCAGACATGAGAGCCCGGGGGACAATTGTTTTGAGTGTTTCAGACCACTTGCTGGTAAACTTAGAGGGTCAAGAGATTGCACGAGCTGTTTGGCATAAGTTGAGAGATATGCATCTGAGGCAAAACGCTGGTTCCAGTGTGATTTTCTTTAAGAAGCTGTGCAGGCTGCAGTTGGAGAAAGGTGGTGATTTGCCTAGCCATCTATCTCAGTTAAAGCGTCTCAGACAGGACCTTGTTCAGCGAGACCTGAATATTTCAGAGGCTGTGTTTGCAATGCTGATGATAAATAGCCTAGATGTTTCTTATGATGGAGTAGCTGCCCAGATTTCTACAATGCCTTCAGACCGGCTAACAGAAGATTATGTGTCTAGCGTGCTCTTGAATGAGTGGGATCGCAGACAGGCTGTTAGAGAAAGCCGGGACAATGGTGCTGTTAAAAATGTGCTTGAAAATGTGCCTGAGTCTTCAGCAGGGGAAAGTGAAAGTGAAACTGCTGCTGTTAAAGCACTAAAGTTGAAGCGGTGCTTTTCATGTGGAGCACAAGGCCATTTGAGTTTCCAGTGCAAGAAGTCTTCAAAGAAGAAGGGAAACTTCAGGAGCAGAGGGGGAGGAGGAAGAAATCCCCAAGCACCTGCTACTTCAAAGGTTTTGCTCTCTCGCTGCTGCAATCAACGTGGGCGGAGTTTCTTCGTGATCGACTCTGGCTGTACTAACCACGTAGCCAAAGATAAGAATCTCTTTGTTCAGCTTGAGAAGCAAGAGAAAGCAATTCATCAAGCAGATGGGACAGTTCTCACGAGTGTGGCTAAGGGAACTGTGTTCTTAAAGAGCCTGAATGCAACTATTAAGAATGTCCTGTATGCACCTGATATTCAGGACAATTTGTTGAGTGTTTCCCAGCTTGATCGTCAAGGGTTTAAGGTGGTGTTTGCTAAATCTCGCTGTGAAATTCTTAGAGATGGCAAGTGCATTCTGTATGCAAAATGTGTAAATGGATTGTACCAATTGCCTTTTGTTACAGGTACAGGCACTGCAGAAGCAACTGAGAAAGAGTGTTGCAATTTGTCTGTGGATAAGAATGAGAAGTTGCATGACCAATGTATTCATTATTATCACCGCATTTATGGTCATTTGGGTTTCCAGGCTGTGGCAAAAATGCCTGATATGGTTCATGGTATGAGGTTGAAAGAATGTCCCTACCACATGAAATGTGTTTCTTGTGCAGAGAGTAAGGCAAGGCAAGCTCCCAAAGGTACAGAGTCTGGGAGAGAGGCCAAGAAACCATATGAAGTCATTCATGCAGACTTAGTGGGGCCTCTACCGCTCTCTAGAGGCAATTCAAGGTTTTTTATGGTTCTGATAGACTCCTATTCAAAATATGTTTGGGTCTATGTGCTGCAGAAAAAGTCTGAAGCCTTTACCAAGTTTCGTCAGTTTTGTAAATGGCTCAGAAATGTACATAATGAGAATGTACGTTTTCTTTTCACAGACAAGGGTGGAGAGTTTTGTTCAGAAGAGTTTGAGAGTTTTCTTTCTGAACAGGGCATTGAGCATAGGACCGCCACGCCCAGATCACCCTGGCAGAATGGTTTATGTGAGAGAGTAAACCAAACCCTGCAGCAAGGAATCAGAACGCTGTTACATGATTCAGGGCTGCCCAATCCTTTTTGGGCCGAAGCTCTTTCGTTTTTCTGTCACGTGTATAACAGGAGGTACCAGTCTAGTGTAAATTGCACCCCATATGAGATGCTTCACGGAAGAAAGCCATGTGTAAAGCATTTTAAAATTTTTGGTTCGGAAGTTTGGGTGCACACCTCGCAGGGTGACAAACTGAGCAAGCGTGGAGAACATGGTATTTTCCTGGGGTATGAGAAAGGGTCTTATCGTGTTCTGATCACAGACACGAAAACAATAAGGCTGACCAGGAGTATTGATGACAATCCACAATGGGACAAAGTTGGTGTTTTTCAGTGCCATCCCATTTGTGATGATGGTGCAAAAGGGGCAAAGAAAATTAAGAGGGAGGCAAGTGTTGTTGGTGGTGATAATCCTGATGCCAATGTAGTTCCAGATGATGGCACAGATTATCAGAGCCCAAAAGCCTCAGGTGAGTCTGACGCTGATTCAGACTTAGCAGCTTCATATACTTTAGCTCCCCATTCTCCCGAAGAGGAGGAAGCACCAGAACAAGAGGATCAGAGAGTTTTGCGCAGATCAGAGAGAACAACCAAGGGTGTACCACCGAAAAGGTTTTCTGAAGAGTTTGCAAAGACTGCGGTCACATGCAACTCTGGTGGGGTTTTCAAACCTAGCATGAAGTGTGCTGAGAGTAGTAGCACAAAACGCTGCATTTATTTCCTTACCTGATATTTGACGGAAAGCGTGTATTTGAGTTCTAAAAGTGGTTTGTTCAAATCTGCCTAATTAGAAATGTCAGTTTGCATTTGAAAGAGAGAAATGTGTATGAAGATTTTTCTAGAAGCTGCTTATTCAATGGTATTGTAAAAGTGTTATATGCTGGGAAAAGAGATACCTGCAAATGTGTAAACCAAGGTTGTAAGCAAAGAACAACTTTTGGAGTGTGTGTGCAAATTGCAGTTATGTTAAAGATTCTTGAAATGGTCGGATGAAATGGGGGAGGATGAGGAGATTTCACCCCTCCCATACCCAAGAATCTCCTGACCATCTCCTGATGATCTCTGCTGACTCTCCACAGAGAAGAGGAGGCGTGTCCTGCCTATTAACTTATTCTGCCCAGCAACATATCTGTGAGTGTGAGAGAGAGTCAGTCAGTCAGTGTATCAGAGAGAGTGAGAGTGTTAGAGATCCTAGAGATTAGATTGCTGCTAAGAGCAGCTGCAGACTCTCAGTATAGCATTGCTTTATGCTCAGTATACTTAGCTCTGTATATAGTTTTGTACCATAGTTGTAGTTGTAGAATAAAAGGAAGATATTTTACAGAGCTGCTCTCCAAGTGGTTTATACTCTGCAAGACTCTGCAAAACGCTGCTGCGCAACGACTGCATTATTGAGACAGTGAATCCGGTGCTCTCAGCTCCAAGCTGTGAGTCCACAGCACTGTGACCGTTTTCCTGCGGGAAGGAGGTCTCTGGCGGTGCTACCCAGCTCGCCCAGCCCAGTCGGGGTTGAGGTACAAGAGTCCAGTTGGCGCACTGGCTCTAGGGCGATGCTGACAATGACATCCGTTTAGCCAAAGGCTGGGCGGCCCAAGAGGCAGGTCGGCAGTAACAATTTAGCCTATTTCACACATAATACACCTAAAGCAGTTCTCAGATGTTGTCTTTCCTTCAATTTGGATGGAAAGTGAGTGACACAAGATTGGGGAAGGGATTGTGGAGGGAACCACAGCAGCAAAGAACCAAGAGAAACCATCAAAATCGCTGCTCAATCTCCCCATCCTTTTTTAAAGCTGTCAGTTGTGTATATCTGGCACATTTCTGATTAATACAAACACATTTCTGAAAATCAGCTACAAAGCAAAATTAGCCAAAATCTATCAGAAAAACACGATTCTCCTCAAATTCAAGTTACACCTGGAGTCAGAATGGATGAGTGAGAGCCAGGATTAAGGCACATCCAAAACAGCATTAAAGGACAGCAGGAGCTCTGAGCCTCTGTAATTCACAGCAAAACTGTGGAGATAAAAACAACAGGAGTGTTTCAAATTTAAGCCAACATCATGGTGTGGGGGCATCAGCCTTATAGAGCTAGTGTGAACCCAAAGGACATCTAGTCCAGCCTCCCAAGGAAAGCCACCATCCCTCATCATGTCAGATCAGACCTAAGATATGCCAGGAGTATCACCAAAATGGACCTGCAGAGGGCAGCTCGAGCAAGTGAGCCAAGCTGCACTCTTTGGGGGAATACCGAAAGCACACAAAGCAGTCCTACTGGAAGGAAAAATCCCTTCCAGAACCCCTTCCAAGATCTCTCATTCAGATCCTGCGTAGAACCCATTTGCCAGATGGAGGGGATCCTCTGTGGAGCTCAGATGAAGAGACAGAATGAGTCACAAGAGCGATTTTCAGCTTAAAGGACACTGCAGATTATGTCACACTTGGAAACCCCAAGATGGGTAACAGCTTTTCCCCATTTGGGGATGTTCCCCACAGAGTCTTCTGCAAGAGCCCCCCTTTGCCCCCACCTGCTCCCCCACTTACCTCTGGCGGAGCTGTCCGACCCCTGGCTGCTTGCTGCAAAAGGGAGGAAACAGAGGAGTCAGGATCCTGGGGAGAGAGATCCCATCCCCCAGCCCTTCTCCTCCCTCCTTCTACCCCCATCCCAAATCGGTCTCAATATGGGGAGGGGCCTAAGAAGAGTTCAGGGAGAGGCAGCCCAGAGGCAAGGGGGCTCAAGGACAGCACTGGAGGGCAAAGTGAGATGGGCACAGCCTGGCATGGAGGCAGCGGGGGACTAGAGCGGGGGTGGGTGCAATCTGGGCAGGAAGGGGGCAGAAAGCCGGGGGGGGCAGTGGTGCCAAATCCGGAGGGGAGGGTTCCTGACACCCACAGACTAGAGCTAACCAACCAAATCTTTAGCTTCAGGTTCCAGTAATTAAACCCCCAGAGACCCCTCTCTCCCCGCACCCTCGGCTCTTCCTCCTGCTCCTTCCTGGAGCCCCTCCCTCAGCCGACAGTCTCTCTGCAGCCTTTTCCTGGCCCTGAGGGACCCCTTGCTGTCCACAGACAGGCTGAGCAGACAGGCTGAAGCTTCCCATCAGGGTCTTGGGCTTAAGGACCAGGCCACCACTAGGTTTAGTTTTGTCTGTTTCTAACTCCATGGTGAGAAAAATATGACAGACAGAGAGAGGGGAGGAGTCACTCACTTGAGGTTGCTTTGTAGACTAATATCTCACTCTGTTTCCCTGTGAAGACAAAAGCAGAAGGTCAGAGCTGGAAGGGACCTCCAGAGGCCACTCAAATCCCATTCCAACCATTTGGCTCTCAGATGCTGAAACCTTCCCAGCAGATGCTCCTCTTGTCTCTTCCAAACACCTCCAAGGAAGGTGAGCCCAGAAGGGGAGCTTTTCAAGGAGCTCATTTTACAAAGAAGTAGAAAAAAGTGAGAAAATTAAATAAAAAAATCAACATGAAAGCCAGGCAGTGGACAAATTCTAACAGGCTGGAAGGAAACATTCTCTAGTCCCTTCACTCATTCCTGTTCATATTATTATTTCAGTCCCAGCCGACCCCTAATCATCAATCTTGCGGGGGGGGGGGGGGAGAAATAATGAACTTTAACAGTGCAATTCTAGGCATGTCTACCAAGAGGAATGTCCTATTCAGTTCAATACAGTGTCCTCTTTAATAAATATTTATTCATTTAAAAATACAAAATGAGTACACAAAATACATAATACAATAAAAACATCAGGTGGAAAGTGAATTTCCTGAGCATAGAGTGAGCGCAAAGCAATGGCCAACATTACTTTTGGTTCAAAGGGTGTTTTATGGGGAGGGGTCTCTGCAGGGATGCCAGCAACAGTTTCCAGGAAGGCTGCACAAGGACATTCCCAGTCGGAGGCCCAGACAGAAGGACACAGGAGAGGAAGCAAACGCATCCAGGGTTTACTTACTGCGGATGATGAAGAAGATGATCCCAGAGACCAGCAGGATGGCCGCCATGACACCCAGAATGGCTCCCACAATGAGCCCCAGGTTGGCTAAAAGGGGACAATAGATGTTTTTATTCAGACTGGCAGCAAAAGGCCTCAAGCAGGAGACTTGAGTGGAGGTGCTAAGCTATGAGCCAGGCACTCTTTCTTCCTCAGCTCTCTCCTAACAGGCCAAGATCCTCTCTGTAGTGGCCCCGACACAAGGGAGTTTTTTTCCACCAGAGTCCAGCATTAGAGGTCTTCAAAATAATCAATTCATTTAAGGAAGACAGTTGACAGGCACACCTGTTTCATCACAGACTCCAGACTTAAAAGCAGGTCTCCTCCTGCTCAGGCGCTTCAGCCTTCTCTGTCCTGACCCTGAGAGGAAGGGATTCCCTCCCCTCTGAGACCCCCCAGAGCCCAGCATTACAGGCCTTCAGGGAAGGCACAAACCCGTAGGGGGGAAAAGCATCTTGTTTATCCTAAACGTGCCCTCCCTTTTCAGACTTAAAATGTCTGTCGAGACAGATTTTTAAAATAAACCAAAATGTCCAGGTTTTAAATAGAGAATAATTAATTAAAGCAAATAAATAAATAAATAAATAAATAAAGTTACTGGAAAGGGTGTGTCTCTTTCTACAGATAGGTGTCATAGTAAGTTTTATTCCACATACTCTGCTGACACATTTGATTTTGAAGAAGTAAAATATCTGCCCATAATCTGTGACATCACAACTACTTGGGCTTAAAGGGAAATGGTGATTGTCAGTTTTTACCTACAACATCCAATTTGAGTTCAAGGCCTATGAGACCCTTGCCAGAAAAGGCTGCATCTCTGTCGAAATCTACAGATTCCAATTCAGCTGCTTCCCTCCAGAGACACAGGCAGGATCCAACTGGGGTTCCCCCTCTGAGCTGTGCTGCAGCTGAAGGGAGGAGTTGGGTGGAAACCCCCCTCCCAGAGCCCACCCCTTCCCCTCCTGTCTGTCTGTCTGTCTGTCTGTCTGTCTGTCTCTCACCTGGCTCCTTCTCCCAGGCCACGTCCAGAGGCTTCTCCAGGCTGTCGTGCTCCACGCGGCACCGGAAGCGCTCCCTCTCCTCGGGGTCGATCTGGACACTGAGCAAGAGATAGTAGGTCCCGTCCGAGTTGGGGGCGACCAATCCTCGGAGGGTGCCCTCCTGCCAGACCTCCCCGTCCTTCACCCAGTTGGCCTCAATCTCCTTGGGGTAGAAGCCGTGGACTTGGCAAACGAGGGTCTCCAGGCCGTCATAGTCTGCCTTCCTGGTCACCTTCACCACCGGAGCCTCTGCAAAAAGGGCCGCATTGGGGTTAACAGAGAGACATCCACAACGGGAGCCTGAAGCAATCCTGTATTTTTTAAGAGCAGAGGAGCAGGGACCCAAGGGGCAACCTAGTCAGAATCTCACATCTGAAGAAATTAAAAAGAACTGTGAATAAATGGGATTCCTCAACCTGCCTTGGCATCTTCGCCAGTCAGTGTCTATGGTGGAACTGTTTTCAGATGTTTTATCCTTTGGGAGGGAGGACAGGGTACAAATTAATTTATTATCTTGAAAAGCTCTAACTACTTGTGGTTCCAAGATTGTCCCAGGGAGCTGATCCTGGTTTCTCTCTTGAGGGGGAAGAAATCCTGGACTCGCTGCTCTCTGTTCTCTGGGACTTTTCAGCCCAATAGTTAGTGAACAAAGCCAGATCCATCATGACAGGAAGCAACTTCAGGGATACCAACTAAACTCCTTGGTCTGGAACATAGACCAAGCAAAATGATATAGATACACTTGGAATTTCTAAATCTTTTGTAGGATGCCATCCTCTGTCCCCTTACAAGGGAGTAAGCAGGGACACCTTCTGAAGGTGCTATGGACTTGGACAAGTGTCCACTGTTTCCTTTTCAAGGGAGGAGATGGGGACCTGGGGGTTGGTCATGTGACCTCCCAGGAGCCCCACCTGGTCTAGCTGCCCTCAGCCTCCGCTGGACCTTAACTCCCCAGTCCTGGGGGAGACAGAGGGAGGTCCTTGGTCAGGCACTGCTTCCTACATAGCATGACGGATTTCGCTCTCAATATAGGGCAGGATTCCCATGGGCTGGATTCCCAGCCCCCCCCAATTGTGCAATGGTCCATCCCAGTCAAAACACTGGATCATGTGATTGGCCCCTGTGCCAGATTCCTGAAGGCGGAAGAGTGGACTGTACCATTTCAAGGCACGGGGTTGGGGAAGATGACACTTCTGAATGTTCCCCATGGGTAAAAGTAAAATTCATCACAAATAAAAGATATAAGAAGGTAGAAGAGGAATTTTCATACTCACTATGTGCAGGTTTTCTGCTAACCTACAGTCTTAGTGAGGGGGCTGCATCCTGCCCTCTAAGACATATTTTATGGGCTCCCCGCACATTTTCTATTTTTAAAAAAGGTTAATTTATCTAGTTTTAAAGACTTTAAAGGCAAGAGGTTTTCTGTATCTCACCTTTACTTCGCAGAGTCTCCTTCCCGTACTCCAGGTATTTCTGCAGCCAGTCAATGCACTCCTTCTCCAGGTAGGCCTTCCGGTACTGGTTCTGGTCCACGATAGGATCCAACTTCCTCTTGGTCACTTGGGCCCCTGTATCAGCTGCCGTCCAGGTGAGGGTCTCCTTGTCGAAGGCGATGAAGTCCCTCCCATTGTAGCCAAACTGCCAATACCCTTCTTTGCGCCCGTCTGACCTCAGCTCACAACCAAGCATCTCCTGCAGGGAGGAATAACCTGGGGGTGGGAGTGGAAGGAGACACCCAAGATGTCAAGAGTTGTGTGTGCACAAGAGAGAGATTATTATTTATTTATCCAAAGACCACAGGGCAGTTTACAAGAGACCACCACCAAAATACATACCATGGAGGCAGACTAATCATCATCATCATAGCACACAGCTCCTCCAAGTTTAAAAGAACACATAGATTGTTGAATTAGCCAAAGGCCTGGGAGAAGAGGGATGTTTTCGCCTGGTGCCTAGAGACATGTGATGCCAGGCAAGAGACAGAACCAGACCAGGAACACAAAGAGAAGTTCCGAGCAGTATATTTAAAACAAAAAACAAAACAACCCCTCAGTTTCTGGGAAACTCAGATTCAGGGAAAAGTCAGAGGCACCATGTGAACCGTGAGGAGAATATGGAAAGAAATGGATGTTATATCTCTCCCCGCCCCCGCCCCTGGTTTTTAACCATAATCCAACACAAAACTGAGTAGTTTACAGTGCAATTATATATGTGTCTAACCACAAGTAAGCAGCACTGAGCTCCAGGTACATCCATGTAAAGAACTGCAGCCCTGATTTCACTGAAATATATGAGTCTTCTTTTACTTACTTCTGTGTTGGATTATGATCTTGGAGTTTGTTTAGGGTCGGGGGTTTTTTTTGCAGTTTTTCTTTTTTCCCCATTTAAAAATAGTTTATTTGCCAGAGCATATATATCAAACATTCTCATAACCTTAAAAATCATAAAACAACACATCATGTACTCCAATCTCATTAAAGGGAAGGAGTACATAATGTCTGCAACAATTTGAAAGGTTAAAATGTACACTTCATGAATCCCAAACTGTGTTACCCACCCCAAGTCCAACGCCCCCATGGGCCTCACTACCTGTGTGTTCAATAAAATTGCCCTATACTGCATAGAAGTTATCGTTTTCCTTTTGGCCTGTTGCTGCCCACGGTTTCCATGTTCGCTTTTCCAACAAAGCTGTCTGCCAGACATCCTGTCACAAATTCTACTCATATTGATCCAGAGCAGATTCCGACATAATGTTTGACGTTTTATCGTGTTTTTAATATTCTGTTGGGAGCCGCTCAGAGTGCCTGGGGAAACCCAGCAAGACAGGTGGGGTATAAATGTTGTTGTTTAGTCGTTTAGTCGTGTCCGACTCTTCGTAACCCCATGGAGCAGAGAACGCCAGGCACTCCTGTCTTCCACTACCAGTTTGGTCAGATATAAATAATATAAATAAATAATAAAATATATTATTATTATTATTATTATTACGCTGAATAATTTCACTTTGACTGCCAAGGCCAGACACTTTGGACAACTGTAAATCTGAGTATAGGCTGAATGTAAGCCCCTCACTCTGAACGATCCTGCAGCTAATGTCTTCATTTCAACTAATTCGCTTATTTAGCTTATGTAGGTAGCAATTTAAGATTTTAAGGATGCTTTCTCACCGCTGCTGTATCACAGTCACCATCTTTCCCACCTCGCCCCCCACTATGTTAAATCTTTGTTGCAGTTTCTAAATGCCAAATATACACTGTTTTTCACTTTGAACCATCACACAACAGTTCCAGAATTGTGTTTGTTTTCCAGAATATGACACAAAATTTAGCACCCTGAGAATGTTAGGGGTTTTGTTTTTGTTTTTTCCCCTCAGGGGAAGCAAAGTTTTATCTTGCTTGAACACATGTTGGCAATTCCTGGTAAACTCAGTACAGTTGTACCTCAGCTCCCGAATGCCTTGGGAGTAGAATGTTCCAGATCCCAAAGGATCAAAACCCAGAAGTGAGTGTTCTGGTTTTCGAATGTTATTTTGGAAGCCAAATGTCCGATGAGGCTTCTGCAGCTTCCAATTGGCTTTGGTTTCCGAACGTTTTGGAAGTCGAACGGACTTCTGGAACGGATTCCAAGGTACAACTGTACTCAGAAAGCAGCTGGGCCTCATTGACCAGCACTCTGGACAGCGCCTTCTCAGTTCCCCCCAAAACAAGATCCCTGCCCCAGCGTGGGTTCTCAAGGAAAGAGCAATTCTCCTTTTCTCTTCGCCAGGGGTTTGCACAGTGACTGGCCCAATCGGTCAATTTCACAAATCAGGATGATGACCATTATCATATAACCGACCTGCAGCTCATTCCCAAGTGCCTTTTTTGCAGAGTAAAAATATATCTTTTTGAGAAAGTGCAGGTACAGATTGGAAGGGGAGAGGGAAGAACTTCTGCCCAGGTTGGAGAACATCCTGCCCATCACCTCGCCCCTTTCGTATCAGCAGGCATCTCCCTTTGCCTCCTGAGCGCCGGAGAAATGAATATTGGGGGCCTCTGCCTCTGCTGCCTTCCACTCACCTCCGCTCTGGTTGAAGCGATTCTGCAGGGTTGCCAGGTTCCACCACAGAACTCTCTCAGTGTCCTGAAAGAGATGTGTGATCTTCTTCCAGTACTGAGGATCCTCCTTTTCCGCCTTCCTTATCCAGGGGACCTGAGGCAGCGCCTCCTTGGTGTCACTGTCGTACTGAACAAATGGCTGGTCATCCACGTACCCGACCATGATGAACTGGGGCAGCTCCTGGCCAGGCTCAGACACGGCTGTGTAGAAGTAGCGCAGGGAGTGAGAAGTGGAGCCTGGAAAGGAAGAGAAAAGGGGGCAGTGTTAGGGGTCCTGCAGCTGAGGGCTCTCTGACAATCCAGCAGCCCCCAAACGGAAGATCTGAGGTGTATATGGCAGTGGGTTTGTAGCAATGCCCCTTCCCAGCACCTGTGCCCTGTAGAATCAAAACAAAACATTTCATAGCTTCCCCACTGCCATTCCCCTATTTGAGGTATATTCCATGTTTATGGGAATAGAAAGTACGAGTGTTGTGGCATAAGGAGGGGAAGGGGATAAATTTTTGCAGCTCCCAGAGGCTGCCTCAAAGGGAAGAAAAAAGAGGGGGCAGGCAAAGGTGCTCTGTAGATACACCTGGAAACAACAACACATACACACACACACACACACACACACACACACCTGGCCAGACCCCACAATCCATCTCTGTTTCCCTTTGAGGGGCAACCGTCGAGAAGGCTCCGCACTGTCAAGTTTCTGCCCCAAAGGGATTGGGAAGAAAGGGGGAAAGGGCAGAAGTTGAATCTGCACCAAGCCTCGTGTTTTTAATTCCAGGACACAACATACCCATCAATCAGTGTTTGAAATCCGCCAGGCATGTTTTGCAACTAGCACGGGTCCAACTGCGACCACACATGGAGATCTGTGGATGCTAAGCTGGCGACTGACATCTCCATCTGGCTGGCCCCTCCAGACTTCTTAAGCGGCTCAGCAGAGGAGCTCATTCACTGCATTTAGATCCCACTCTTTTCACCGCCCTCCTCAGGGAGCAACAACAATAATTACCTTTTCTGTGGTGACTCCCCACTTGTGGAATGCTCTCCCCAGGGAGACACCAGGGGGGAAAAGGTACTCTTCAACTAGGCCTTAGACCGATTAAACTATGGCGTGTGTGTAATAGTTTTGTTCGCTATTTTGTTATGTCTCGCTATGTTTTTATATTGTAAACTGCCCCGTAATCATTGGGTGGAGGGCAGTATAGAAATTCAGTAAACAATTCAGTAAATAATAATAATAATAATAATAATAATAATAATAATACTGGATATGCAAAAGCTTTTCTAAAGGCAACTCAACTTTCAAATTCTACATTTTGGGGGCAGGCAGCGCAAGCGGAATTTGAGGGGAGAAAGCGGCACAAAGGGGTGACGAACGCGCCAGAGAAAAGAAACGATCGACCAGAAGTATTTGGCAGTTGCGGGCCAGGGGATCCCTCCGTCACGGGGGTTGGACTGGATGACCCTCAGGGTCCCTTCCATCCCTTCTTCCGTGCTATGATTCTCACGGATCCACCGGATTCCGGGGAGCAGCAACACGTGCGAGGGGCGAGCCGCTTCCCGCGCCATCAATCCCGCCGCCCTCGCAGGGCTGGCTTCTTTCTGCGAGCCGAGCAAGGCTGCGGTCTCTGCCCCAGGCGGCATACAAAGCGCACAAAATCCCCAGGGGGCGGGGAAAGACATTTACCAAGAGATCCGGGCTGGGAACACCCACCCCGCCCCGCCCCGCCCCTGGCAAAGGGCCTCCGCCCCCCAGTTTGACCCCCGAGGTACTGACCTACGCAGACCAGGAGCAGCAGCAGGTGGGCAGCCGCCCGCAGGATCAGGGGGGGCCGGCGGAGGAGGAGGACCCCCATCTCCCCCCAAAACGAAGCGCCCTTTTCCTCCTCCCGCCGCCGCTCTGAGACCCGCTCTCCGCCCCGCCTGCGGAACCAGGGATTGGGCGAGGGGGAAATATTCCGCCAATCGGAAATCTGAACTCGAGGCACAAGTGGCGAGCGAGGCTGAAGAGGGAACGAGGAAGTTCTAATGCAGCTCCTCGCTGGGAATCGCCGCCTCCCTCCCTCCCTCCCTCCCTCCTTCCCCCCGCAGCTCTTTCTGTCCTGCCCTGCAGGGAGGGCGGAGGAAGGGAGGAGGGAAGGGGAGAAGCTGCGGCAAAGCAGAAGGCAGAATCCTAGGATTGCAGAGTTAGAAGGGACCCCTGGGTCATCTAGTCCAACCCCCCCCCCTGCAATGCAGGAATCTCAGCTCAAGCGCCCCAGACCACCTCCCCAGAGAGACCCTCGCCCTGTCAAACAGCTCTTGCTTTTATTGCAAGACAGCAACTGCTGCTCGTCCCATCATTTAATTCCCACAATAACCCTGTGAGCTAGGTCAGGCTGATATGCTTCACGGCCTAGTGAGGATTCGAACCCGGGTCTCTTGGATACAAATCCACAACTCTAACCACTACACCGCCCTGGTAACCACCTGGGATGCCTCTGCGGATGAGCACATCCTGAAGGATTTTGACCATCCAAAGTTTGGGGGATATTTGTGGGAGTTTTGCTGATTCCAGAACGGACATAAGGTAAAGGTACCCCTGACCGTGAGGTCCAGTCGTGACCGACTCTAGGGTTGCGCGCTCATCTCGCTCTAGAGGCCGGGAGCCGGCGCTTGTCCGCAGACAGCTTCCGGGTCATGTGGCCAGCATGACGAAGCCGCTTCTGGCGAACCAGCACCAGCGCAGCACACGGAAACGCCGTTTACCTTCCCGCCGGAGAGCGGTCCCTATTTATCTACTTGCACTTTGAGGTGCTTTCAAACTGCTAGGTGGGCAGGAGCAGGGATCGAGCAATGGGAGCTCACCCTGTCGCAGGGATTCGAACCGCCGACCTTTCGATCAGCAAGTCCTAGGCTCTGTGGTTTAACCCTCTATCCCAGCAGGGGGGTGTAATATGCAAATATAAGTGCCTGTTGCAAAAGCATTTCTTGCAAGGAGGGAGGAGCAATTAACCCTGTACAGTGGTACCTTGGGTTACATACGCTTCAGGTTACATATGCTTCAGGTTACAGACTCCACTAACCCAGAAATATTACCTCTGGTTAAGAACCTTCCTTCAGGATGAGAACAGAAATCGTGCTCCAGCGGCGCGGCAGCAGCGGGAGGCCCCATTAGCTAAAGTGGTGCTTCAGGTTAAGAACCATTTCAGGTTTAAGAACGGACCTCCGGAACGAATTAAGTACTTAACCCGAGGTACCACTGTACTTGATTTTTGGAATCAATATTCCCTGCCCCACATGGTTGCTTTATTATCCATGGAGGGAAAATGGGGAGAGTCCAACAGAGAGAGGAACTAAGGAGGGGTTTTTTAACACAAGAATGTCCCAGAAGTTAAACCATTTTCTACTCTGATCAAGTCTCCATTCACCAGAAGGACCCCTTAGGTCACTGGCAGAGCACCTTCACTGATGGAGCCAGCTTGGTTTCTCCTGCTCAGGAGGGTAGGACTCGAACCCATGGCTTCAAGTTACAAGAAAGGAGATGCCGACTAAACATCAGGAAGAACTTTCTGACAGTCAGAGCTGTTTGGCAGTGGAACGGTCTCCCTCAGGAGGTTGTGGACTCTCCTTCCTTGGAGAAAATTAGTTTGTTGAAAGATCAGAGAGGTGGCAGGGCCCAAGAGGCTGCAATCCCACACACATCTTTACCGAGGAGTAAATCCCAGTCTGTTCAGCAGCACTTCCCTTTGAGTAGACTTGCAAAGGATTGCTCTGATAACCCTACAGCAGGTGGAAGGTGGCAGACACTCCTGCAATGGAGGTTTTTAAAACAGAGGTCAGACAGATTCTTTAACTGTGATTCCTGCACTGCAGGGGTTAGACTAGATGACCAGTAGGGTCCCTTCCATCTCTATGGTTCCCCAACTTTGTTTCCCCCCATGATCCACTTGAAAATGGCTGAGGGTCTTAGGGGACCAAATAACAACAACAACAACAACAACAACAACAACAACAACAACTCTGTCTTTTGTAGGCTATAGCAATTGCAATGCACTCTGAAGTTTTAATTGCATTTATAAAAAAACAAAAACCAGGCATGCCATGATAAATGAGGCTTGCAGACCAATTTTGGAAACCCAATTCTACAGGCTGCAGAGGGAGAATCTGTGTTGACTTGCAGAAAGGAAGATGGTGTTTTTTAAAATTATTATTATTATTATTATTATTATTATTATTATTATTATTATTATTAAATTTATCTCCTGCCTTTCCTGCAAGGGGCTAGAATAGCATACACAGTCTGCACCCCACCCCCAATTTTATCCTCCTAACAACCTTGCAGTGAGACCATATAACACCAGTCCTGAGAGATCTGCGTTGGCTCCCAGTACGTTTCCGAGCACAATTCAAAGTGTTGGTGCTGACCTTTAAAGCCCTAAATGACCTCAGTCTAGTATACCTGAAGAAGCGTCTCCTTTGTTGCTGAGCCACGGCCCTTCCTCTTATAACTTAAGGTGACATTCGGACTTTTGGAGATTTTTATTTACTCACTGAGAAGCTACCACATTTATCTACATTTTATAAATAAATAAATCACAGTGCAATGTGAGAGAAGTGGAAACACCGTAAAATAAAATAAAAAGCAGTTCATCATGAACGAATCTCAGTAACTCTTGATGGGGTTACGCTTCCTCTGAAGGAGCTGGTTCATAGCTCGGGGGTTCTCCTGGATCCTTTGCTGTCCCTCAAGGCTCAGATGGCCTTGGAGTGCCTTCCATCAGCTTCGGCTGGTGCCCAGCTACGCCCCTATCTGGACAGGGATAGCCTAACTACCGTTGTCTATGCTCTGGTAACCTCAGGGTTAGATTACTGCAATGTGTTATACATAGGACTGCATCTGAAAACTTCAGCTAGTGCAGAATTCAGTGGCCAGGTTGCTCACTGGAGCAAGACGCTTTGAGCATATTACATTGATCCTGGTCCGACTGCACTGGCTACCAGTTAGTTTCCAGGCCCAATTCCAAGTGCTGGTTTTGACCTATAAAGCCTTAAATGGCTCAGGACCGCAATACCTCAAGGACTGCCTCTTTCCCTATGAACCTAACCAGACCCTGAGATCATCTTCTGAGGCCCTCCTTCATGTGCTGCCACCTCGAGAGGTCTGGAGGGTGGCAACACAAGAACAGGGCCTTCTCTGCAGTGGCTCCCTGTCTGTGGAATGCTCTCCCCAGGAAAGTTCACCTGGCGCCTTCATTATACAGTGGTACCTCTGGTTAAGAACTTAATTCGTTCTGGAGGCCCGTTCTTAACCTCAAACTCTTCTTAACCTGAAGTACCACTTTAGCTAATGGGGCCTCCTGCTGCCACCGCGAGATTTGTGTTCTCATCCTGAAGCAAAGTTCTTAACCTGAGGTACTATTTCTGGGTTAGCGGAGTCTGTAACCTGAAGCGTCTGTAACCTGAAGCGTCTGTAACCCTAGGTACCACTGTATACCTTTAGGTGCCAGGCAAAAACATTCCTTTTTAACCAGGCCTTTGGCTGACCTGATGAACATCCTGTACCCTTTTAAAATGCGGGTCTTTTTTTGCATGACTAGACAGGACTCCAGCACTCTCCTGCCCTGGCCCCGGGCCTGCTCAAACGGTGGAGTCTACCTCCTTCCAAATCTTAGCGACTTTATCTGCAAAAAAACTTTGCAAAAGGATTGTAGGAGATTTTGGGGTCCCTACCAGGCCCCGTGACAAAGGTGGTTCCAAGAGATTGCGAACCACCTGAGTCTCCTGCTGCTGTTTTCTGCACATGAAATGGAGGCGGTGAAGAAGGTCCTCTTCGTCGTCGCTATCGCCACCTGGTAGGCTCGACATTGAGCTCTAACCTGTGTCCGGTCCGATTCAGAATGTGTTTTCCGCCACTGGTGCTCTAGCCGTCTCAACGATTGTTTCATCGCTTTCAGCTTCGGTGAAAAACACGGGGCTATTCCAGGTACCATGCAATCAGAGAGGGCAGCATAAAATGTTCGAATCTGCTGAACTGGCTGGTCTGACGAACAGGGTAAGAGAAAATGAGGACAAGGAATACAAGGAGGAATGGATGTTGTTTATTGAATATTTCAAGAACTAGTATAGAGAAAGACATAGCTTACCAGGTCTTGTGTAAATCCAGCAGAGTTGAAATAGATAAGAGTATTTAATAGATAACAAATTGGATGATTAAAAAGATGTGGATTACGCAGAGTAGTAGAAAAGCAAAGGAACCAGGAAAAGTGTGGAAGGAAAGTCATATGGTATATGTATACATGTTGTGTTTGGTATGAAGTTGTAAGTGGGACGAGGGAAGGAGAGAGGGGTTAAATATGCTCTCTGTTCATGTTTTTGAAAATGCAATTAATTTTTTTTTAAAAAATGATCCCCTCCCCACGGAGGCCTGTTTTCAAGGTGGGCACCCACCCCCAACCATTCCCCACTCACTGATGGAGGAGCTGGTGGAGCTGCTCAAACTTTAACTTGCATATCAGTCTGCAATCTTCTAAGATTATACAATAACATGATAATGATACAGGAATAATTAGAGGTGCTTTGCAACAATCAGTGCAGTTCTCCATGTGTTGCCTAGATGTATTATTATCTACACATGCACAGCCGCAAATGATTTTGGAGTGCTCCAATATCGCCTTAAGTTGTTTGTAGTGGTTCGCCAGTGTGGTGTAGTGGTTAAGAGCAGTAGACTCCTAATCTGGTGAACCGGGTTCGCTTCACTTCTCCTCCACATGCAGCTGCTGGGTGACCTTGGGCTAGTCACACTTCTTTGAAGTCTCTCAGCCCCACTCACCTCACAGAGTGTTTGTTGTGGGGGAGGAAGGGAAAGGAGAATGTT